ATCCTAAAAGTTTTGCTTACTAATTCAGATCAATTTTCAGTCTGATTTAGTCTAAGGAACTGAAAAAAAAGAGTGTGGCTGTACATGCTTTCATCATACTTTGCATACTTTCGTACTTGCATCATATTTTCAACCAGTTTCTTTGTTTGTGGCCCACACATTTTGTTCAGGAAATAAATTGTACAGACCTGTTTTAGAGTGTGATCCAAGACCTCAGTGTATACCAGAGCTTCCCTAATACCAGCATTTCAACAATTTAAAGTCCACTACTACTCTCAGTTAAGTATGCTTCTCACTTAATGCTTTTATCCCATTAAAACTCCTCACTCTACCTGTTGTGGATAATACATATCATTTTTCTTTTTTTTTTCTTTTGTTGCTGTTCTGTAACCTAATAGTAGCTGTAATACAACACTCACATACATTCATAGATGTCAGGGCGTTACACGTAGTACCACACTGTACACATAGCATGTCCATGCAGTACTGCTGACAATGTCTTTCAAAGTCCAAAGGCTGTTCGTTTTTTTTTTCGCCAATGGAAGTCAGATCACGCCGTCTAAACCTGCTCTACAGTGTTTCAGTTCGGGTAGCTTTATTGAGGATAGTATTTATATTTGGTTTAGGAGGTTATTGTGAGCCCACAAGGACTGGAATAAGCGTTCCAGTGGGCAGAGAAAGATTTTATTTCTGTATACATCATTACGCCTGAAGAAAACATTAGAAAGGGATGAGGTTTTATTGAAAAGAGTAGCTCTCGGAGGTGCCATCAGTATTTTTTATTTTATCTAATAGAATACAAAGGATGGAACAGAGTTTATTTACATCTTCCAAAAAACGGATGTATTCTCCAAATTTAAAAGAAATCTATTAAAAATACATAGGAGCGGGTTTGTGGTAGCCACCATGTTCCTCTACCATATTTGAATACAGTGCCTGGAAAGGACATCTCTCTTCCCGCTCGTGCTGTTTTACATATGTGGCTAGAGACCGGTCACATACGTAGTAGGCAGAGGAGAAGTCAAAGGCATTTGTGTGCCATGCAGGGACATTTGATCCATGCTTGCACCTTCAGACTCAAGATATGACTCATTATACCTATGTTTTATTGTCAGAGGAGTCCCCGTTGTCTCTGTCATAAAGGACAGAGACAACACCACTGGCCTCTTAATAAAATATTATCCTCTTTCTACCTCTTCCTTCCAGCCTAATCTCCCAAATTGAAGTCAAGGCTCTAACACATAAAAACATGCATAAAAATACTTATTTATTCCCAATATTGTCGCAATTACTTATTGTCAGTAGATTAGACAGCTGACAACAGGCTAAACAACAACAACAACAGCTGATTATAAGCTAACATTATACCAGCTAATGCTAGGAACTTAAAAAAAAAAATCACACTTTCCCACCGATAAACAAATTGATTAAACTCTCACATTGTATGAGAATTTATTCACTAAATCCCAGAGTGCAACAAAGTTACGTCCACTTCAAAGACAGTTTCACCAGTCCTGGCTAATAGCAACTAACATTGGCTAACAGAGGCTAACATTAGCAAAAACAGCAGTGTTACTGACAGAAAAATTCAAATATCCACAATAACTCATCTCAGTATGAATGGTCAACAATGAGCTCCGACTCATTGACCTCTATTGGACTCCTTTCACAAAGTTTTACAGCCTTTTCCAGTGTAAATAAATGTGGATGCATTGACAGCTGAAGTAAACAGTGGACTGACAATCTACACAGATAGTTTTTCCTCTATCTACCGAGAACTACCGATATGAGGTACAGGCTAAATTTAATGTTTTGCATCTTTCTTGGCTGATTAAAACATGTTTGTCCTAAACCAGCCACATAGCTAGGATTATGACTGCAATCTGAATCCTACTGACATTTAGCAGTGAAAAAATTTACACACTATAAGTTTAAGTTAATAAACTGTGATCTTTAAAACATTTATTTTGATTTCAATCCATTTCAGTGCCATCATGACCATGAAGTCTTTTTGTTCAGGGAGCCAATAATAATGTACTTATGCACAGATAGATCTTTGATCTGTGGCACATAAGCCTTGGAGCGCTCAACATACTTTGTTATCTGCATTTATACCAGTCATCAACAAACTATATTTTCCTACATGTGGAAAATGTTGTGAATAATACACAGTATTTACTTCCACATAAAAATGTTAGTTATTTTTTCAGGTCTGTGAGTGATTTCCACTCTTGGTCCTTCCTGTGAGTTTGCATTGTTTCTGTGTTTATTTTGGCTTCCCCCCCAAGTAACCAAAAAGCTGAGTACTTGAAAATGCTCATCTGCATGAATTTGAGAAATCTGACTTTTCCATGAACTGGGAACCTTTCCTGGGTATTTCCCTGCCTCAAACCGAGTTTATTCTTGGATGTCAATAACTGGCTGTTAACATTTTCCCATTCATCCATTTAGGCGCAAGTTGCTGGCGGAAATGGTGGAGGATGAGAAGGTTGCCATGGAAATCGCCCATTTGGAGGAGGAGTTTCGGCGTCTGACAGAGGAGAACCGCACCTTGGTCACAGTCCATAAAGAGCGTGCTAAGCAGCTGGAAAGGCTCTGCGTTAACAATCGAACGAGGCAAGACTCCTCGTGACCTCGGCCAGAACCTAAGACCACCAGACTCTAAGCTGACACTAGGGCCAGGAACCAGGAACAAATACTCAGCTAGTGCTCGTTTTACGCAGTCACAGTCTGTGAATCAGCTAATTACACAGAAAGCTGTGGTTTCTATTCATGTCTGAGTCATTTGTTTGAACCACATACATGCAGTTATCAAGTTGTTTTAGTGATTCCACCAAGCTATTACACACTGCCAGTTAACTGGGTACTGCTTTGTCTCTATATGATTATGCATAACCCTCCTGGTTGCCAGTGGAAAATCTAAAAATACAATATTTCCATACATAGTCAGTTGCTGTGACTCTGATATCTGTCTTAGGTCCGGTGGAGACTCAAATGTTTTATCTGAGATCTGCTGAGGGAGCCAAAGGTGGTACGATGTGGTCCAAGTATTTTATTTAAGGAGTGTTTAACCTCCTCTCCCTCTCTCCTACACCCAGCTCATGGATGAATGTTTCACACACTGTCAGGCATCTGGAAAATATAAGTATTTGTGAAGAACAGAAATATAATGGGTGACTAAGTATTTCACAGTATATGCTGCAACACAACACTGTAAGACTTGTACATTTTCTTTTTTTTCTTTTTTTTTTGAGGTAGTGTATGTAGTAGAAACAGGGAAATGTACAGCATGACGAACTGTTGGTTATTGTCCTCATACAAATAAAATGTGTTTTATTTTGACACTCGCATCAGTTCCCTATTTTCATTTCTCCAAGCCAGTGTTATGTGTGTGTTTTTATGTCCATAGTGATTACAAAGAAAAGGGAACTAGATTGTTTTTTTTATGTCAAGATTAGATCATTCTGGAGTTATGAAACTGTCATCTGATTGGCTGGTTTTACTCTTGACAGGCTTCCCTGTTTCTCCAAATCATGTGATATTAGAAACAGCACTTTGTAGTTTTGCACTGCTGTAGCTCCTCCATTCACTGAAGCTGTCCCTTTTCTTTACAGAAAACCCATTGTCTACAGTAACATTCACACCATTGTCTGACGTTATGACTTTTCACCTCCTATCACAGCAATTTCATCAGTATTTTCTTGGCCAGTAAAAGTTGCTGACACATATAATTATATTAGCTATTCAGATACTGTTTGATGCATAATAATGATAATGTGTAATTATATGGGGCAGCGGTGCTCAAACAGGTGCCGTGTGGAACCACTGGAGGATGGAACACAGACAAGTGGGTGAAAAATATGAAGTGAAACTAATGTGATTTTTTTTT